ATTTTGTCATTTTGTCATAATATACGTCACATATCATATGACATACATGACAACCGGTCATATGACATGACCTTAGGTCATTTGTCATTTGTCATATAAATTTTTGATTAACCAATTAAAATCAACCAAATGGAGTTTAAAAAAATAAAAAAATTGAGATTTTACGATAATCATGATTTTTATTGATCATAAATTTAAATTTAATAAATGCCAACACCACACAAATTTCGAAATTTTTTTAGTTTAGTTCCTAATCCAAATAATAAATCTAATGCAAAAGCAGTATGCATTTTTTGTAGTTCAAAAAATGGTGGTATTCAAGCAGCAGCATTAATACCTGGGTGTTATACAACAAATAAGGCTAATTATGCCACGCTCATTTAGCAAATTATGATCATTTTAAAGATGCATATACTGTTGAAAAAGTGGAAGAAATTCTATCCCAGCCAGTAGCAGAGGATAAGCGAAAATTAAATGATTTAAGTACATATAAAATAATTTATTTTGTATATATTATTATTATAAATTATATTAACTTTTTTATAATTAAAGATATTGATGATAGTGATACTCCTCCTCCTAAATACCATAAATATTCTACCTCTTCACAATCAACTTTAACCAGTTGGTATAGTAAACCTATGTCTCAAAAAGATACACCTACATTTGAAACATTAATGGTTAAAATGTGTATTTCAAATGGCCTTCCCTTTTCTTTCGTAGAAAATGAAGAAACTCAAGCAGTATTTCACTTTATTGCTCCTGGTCTTAAACTTCCAAATCGCCAAAAACTTGGTGGAAAACTTTTATTAGAAATATCAGAAAATTTTCAAGAAAATATACTTAAAATAGCACAATTAGACGAAAATGGATTAACTGCTACATTTGACGGGTGGACAAATGTGAAACAAGAAAATATATGGGGCGTTGTATTGATTACTTCAAAAGGACAACCATTAATTTGGGATGCTCAAGAGACAAGTTCTGAACGATCACGAACTGAAGATGTTATACGACATATTGAACAATTAATGAATGATGCTCAAAATAAAAAAGATGTTAATATTAAAGCATTTATATCAGATTCAGCAGGTGAATATGCTGCTGCTAGGTAAGTTTCATTAAATTAAAAATATACTATATAAATAACATTTCTGGTTTATTTTATTTTAATTGTTAATTAGAAAGCAATTACGACGAAAATATCCTGCAAAAATATTTCTTCCTTGTATGGCACACCAGATGAACTTAGTATTTGGTGATATATTCAAGGAGAATGCGGTTTTTCAAAGAGTCACTAAAGAAGCAGTTCGAATTGTTAGTTATTTTCATAATTCTACATTTTTTACAGGAAATTTACGAGATGAGCAGGAGCGAATTTATAAAAAGACAATTAAATTAGTATCACCTGGTGATACTAGGTGGAATTCGTATTATTTTTGTTTTCATTCAATTTTAAAAACTCAAGCTGCATTAAAGGTAAATGTTTAACTTTTCAATGTTAATTAATTAATATTTGTAATTTACTAATAAGATTTTTTAATTTTTTAGATTTTGTCTGCAAAGTTTAATCCAGAACGAGCAAATGTTATTTGCACAAATGGTATTCCTAATAGTTCAGTTGATAAACGATCAACAAGAAGTAATGGAGAGCGTAAATTACCTGATGATATTGCAGATAGTATCAATGATTCAGAATTTTGGACAACTTTATTTTCTTTACAAGATTTATTGTATCCTTTATGCGGATTTCTGAATAAATTACAAAAAGATACTGCGCGTCTTTACGAAGTGGTACATTGTTTTGCATATACTGTGAAGATTTTTTCTGAATATCATGATCCAGACTTTTCAGAAAAAATGATATCTAGAATGGAAAAAAGATGGAAGGATTGGGAGCAGCCACTATTGTTACTTTTTATTGTGCTACATCCATCTTATAAGTTGTTAAAATTTCGATCAACAGTAAACAATTTAACATGGACGCATATTGGCCAATGGTTAAAATACTACTATCTTGCTTTTTTTGGAATTCCGGCTAAAACAATTTTATCAGAATTAATTAATTATAAAAGAGGGGACGATCCATATGATAATGAATCTTTTAGCCATTTTCGAGGAAATGTACTTGATTTTTGGGAATCAACAATAGGATTTGGACCAGAACTTGCTAAGGTGGCTATTCATATTCATAGTATTTGTGTAAACTCTGCTTCTGTTGAGCGTTTATGGTCATCAATGGGATTTTTTCATACTAATAGGCGAAATCGTTTAAATGTAATATTAATTCAATTTTATATTTAGAAATAATATAATTACTGTTTTTTTTGCAAAAAAATTAGATTTATTTATTTTTTTAATTTATCATTATTACTTAGCATACAAAAGTCCTTGCAATGAGCAAGATTCGCAGTGATATTTTATATCAACGCCGAATTAAAGAAGTTAATCAAGCTGATCAGCAAATGAAGCGATTACATATTGCAACTCCAATTATTAATGACGATGATCTTAATAATCCTGATGAAGAAATACAAAATATTGATGAGGATTTAATAATAGTAAGTGATGATGAAGATGGTAATGAAAATAATAAGAAAAAAAGAGAAAAAGATGAAGTAGAGCCAAATACTAAAGAAAGTGAAAATCAATGGAATACTGTTATTTCTCAATGGATTGAAGAGGCTAATTATGAAAATCGGGTTGAAGATAGTAATGATGAGATGCTACTTAATGGAGAATTTGATAATGATTTTTTGGTAGGAACACGTAATATTCATCCAGCTGATGATCAAAATGCAAAATGGGAATTATCACTCCTTTTTGTATATAATTTAGAATCACCTACATATGCTGGATTTTTTTCTAATCATAATAATGAATAAATGCTAATAATAAGTAATAATAATAAAATTAACAAATTAAGTTTTTCTGTAACATATATTTAAAATTGTATATATAATACATTAAATTTTCAAAATAATAAAGTTGTACTAACGGAAAAGTGCTACATATAAAAATATCACGAATTAGATATAAATTATACGCAAAAAAAATTTTTCTGGGGGGTACGGAGTACCCCCCAGACCCCCTTCCTAGGCTTTTTTTTTTTTTTTATCATTTATTATTTTATTAATTTATTTTTATTTTATTATTATTTCTTTTATTTTTAAAAATTTCATAAATAAATTCAAAATTATAGAATTATATAATACTTTTTTTTGATTGGTTAAACCCATATGA